ATGCAAGTGAGTATATATCTACTAAGATACTACTTACAAACTAGATGAAATTAAAATGAAAAAAAAAAATAAAATATTTATTTAATGAAGAAATCAGTTGATGGGATAATTCTTTTTAAGCTAAATAAATTTACCTTGGAATAAGATCATTGCATAAAGTAGTTACTTGTTGTTCTTTTTCTTTTAATTCATCCTATAAAGTTAACGATTTTTTATTAGAAAAATGAGAATTACAATACAAACTTGTGTTGTAAGAAGTTCATTAGTAAAAATAGCGAATTGAGTCTCGTAGACATCTTTTGTAGCTTTTAAACTTGCAATTTCTTGCGACTAAAAGTATTTCAATAATTGAAAAAATAATTAGAAAATTTTTGATTATCGTCTACTTGTTCAGCTGCTCTTGTTTGTGTAGATTTTGAATATTTTTGTATTAATAGAAGTTCGTCTTCAAGATCATTAGATCGTTGTTTTTGTTGTATGAATTCATTGCTTACTAGAAAAATAATCTTTCACCGAAGATTACAGTAACGAAACTTATCTTAACAAAATTCAGATCAGATTTCAGATAAAATTATGACCTTAAAAATATTTTTATTATTGAATTTCACATTCGCTCTGACGGTTCAGCAATATACTCGAAGCAGGATGTTTCTACAAATATCCTAGTGCAAGATGCCAGAAACCCGGTAGGGTAAATCTGGAACTTATTGCCATTCAAGATGCAAGAGATTACAAATGAAAAAAAAGAATACATCGGAGATTTAAATGAAAATAATTTACGTTTTAATCAATTTATTTTAATTTCTTATATAATTTATATAATTTGAATTTAATATAATAAATTCAATGTCTTTTCAACGAAGTGGTCGACAATTTAAATCTGGTTTAATACGAGTTAAACCATTGTTAGATCCATGTGACATGATAAGTGTATAATTTTCAGCAATCATAAGATTAAATAAACTTTTATCAACCACATTAAATGCACCTAAAACTGTTTTATTCTGACCATAAATAATTACTTTATCGCCGTGCGCTACAACTGCCCATATTCGTTTACAATTATCGATAATAATATCTGATGTTTCGTAACCGTGAGTAATTTTATCATTATCTTTTGTTGTCCATGTATTATCCCTCGGATTTCTCGTATATAAATGAATGCCCGGATCTGTATCATCCCAACCAACATAAAATGCATTTTCATTAACAACGCCAACAGCATGTAATTGTTCGTCATTATAAATTCTCGGAATTAATGTACAGTTTATAAGATAGCCTTTAACTTCATCTTTTCTACATACATAGATACCGTTACCAGCTGTACCCACAATCATTTCTTGTGTTTTATCAATAAAACGAATCGCGTTTATAGCACCTATACTTGTAATAGTATGTAGTAGTGTACTTAGATTTTTATTGTAAACATATATATTTCCATCTGTACCAAGATAATAATGCTCATCATAATAGCCAGCAGCTTTAAGTCCTGAAATTTTTGGTATATCCACAGGTTTAAATGTTGATTTATCAAATTTAAGCAATATTCTTTTTTCACTATCATCACGATGAGAAGCAACTGTGATTATTGTATTATTATCACCATCAGCAAGTGTACGTAACGGTCCAGTTGTAACATTTTCTTTAGTACGTAATGCTTCGTTGATTTTATTGATAAGTGTAGTTGTATTGCAACAATCATCTTTTTCTTCAAATGTTTCATTAGTTTGTATTAAATATATATTTGTATAAACATTTGGATATTGAATTTCATCCCGTATTGGCATAAAATAATAAAATTGACAAGTAACATTTATCGATTCATTTTGAGTGCATGTAAATAAAGCAACTTTCGGATTACTAAATGCATTACAAAGACATTGATTACAATCTTGACTTTTTAATATATGACCACGATCATCATTCATATCAAGTGGAATTTTAATTGAAGCATTACGAATTAATCCATATGGATAAGAACTTGTACAAAGATAAGGTAGAATAAAAAATATAAGAAGAAATGACATTATTTTATAATAAACCGTTAAAGTTTTCATTTCTTTTATACTTAGAAAAGCTATTATTTTTATCACGTCTTATAATTTATTTTGAACGTGCTAAATCATAATTAGAAAAATATTAAGATTTAAAATTGCACGCGAAAAGACGATAAATAGACAATCGGAAAACAACTTTTTCTGTATATGCATAATTACAATGAACTTTATGTGGACAATTTTCAAATTTTTTTATTATAAATTATTGTATTACACTCAAATCATATCATTTCATATATTTATATTAATTAAATAGAACTATAAAAATATATACGATTATTACAATAATTTATATACAAAACATCACGTATTTAAAAAACAAAGATTTTAACTAAAAAAAATATATGTCGTAAGATTCTATTGTGTATCACCGTATGCTTAGATAAGATCAAACTAAAATAAAAGAAAAAGAAAATGTCGAAAAATAAAATAAACAAATAAATTTGACTTACAAGATCTTCTTCTTCATCATCTTGTTCATTATTTATTGGTGCATTATTAAGTGCTTGAATTGCTGTTTCTTCTTCAAGAAATTTCTTTGCTTCAACAGGTATTACATTTGATTCAATACATTCTTCACTGGTTATTAAACTAATTTTTTCTAAAAATTAAATAATGTATACGTGAGAATTTGAATTTTTCTTTTCAGGCATATTCTCATGTGCGTAGTTGAAATTTATTCCGTTTTGAAAAACTATGTAGAACTAATTGACTACTTTCTGAAGATATTTATATATATATTCTACAGATTATTAAAACTCTACATACCATCGACTATTTTCTTCCAAAAATCTTTTCTTCCATCAATATCTGATGCGTGAGCTTTGAGTACAACTTCGAAATCATTGAAAATTTTAGGTTCTAATTTATCAATACATATTTCACGTAGACATTGTATACATTGTAATGCTTTTTCAAATAATGAATCTCCATGTGAATTATTAATAAGATCAAATATAAGTGTACACATTTGTTTACATACATCAGTCAATGATGGTGAACCTTGTTCAATTAAAATCCTAAAATCTTCAACGGGTGTTACTGTACCAACAGTTTTTATTGCTGCTTTCTTTTTTGCAGCTGCTTGAGCTTCAAACGATGTTGAATCAGTTGTAAATTCTTCATTATTATCTTCTAATCGAGCTTTCTTAGCAGAACTAAAAATATAAAACAAATAATCCTATTTTTCAATGGAATTTTGTATTTATTCATACATATCATTATTGCCAAAAAGTGCTTCACCAGTTGCTACTTTTTGTCGACGATTAGTATCTCGAAGAATAAATTGTTCATGAACTGTATCTAATGTTCGTTTACTCTTTCGAGCTATTGATTGAATTAATGTATCATTCATTTCCATAATTGTATTTGATAATGATAATGGTTCATCAGGTGTCACAGCACGTTGAGCAATAGACTAAAAGAAATTTTTCATTAAAAATCAAAATGATATATATGTATATCTACTTGAAACATTCGCTGAATATATGGATTCGATATAAGTTCTGGTTGAAATGCTTCTTCACGTCTAATAATAAAAAAAACGATTCAAATATATTGTTTATTTTCAATACTAAATGATTCTAACCCTCGATCAGCATGTGATAAATCCATAGTTGTTATTAAATTATCAACTGTTTTCAATTGTTCATCATTGGGTAGATTACGTTTAATAACGTCAAGATTATCGAAATTAAATTCACGTAAATCTTCTGCAAATGGTAATTTAACGTAATACATACACTAAAAATTATATGATTTTTTTTGTTTTATAAATTGAATTTTCTACTTACAATATGATCATGAGCAATATGTGGACGTAAAAATCCAAGTTCTGGTGAACTTCTCTCACTGAAACATTTACGTACGATAGCAACTGTATTTGTATCATACATCGCTTGAACAAGACCAGTAAATGTCTGAGCTTCTTCTTCATAAGTTGGCTCGGCAATAACTTCATAAACTGTATCACCTAGATAAAGACTACGTCGCATCTAAATTAAATAAAAAAGAAACACATCAGTTTTAAAAGCGAAATTAGTGTATAAACTAACCATATTAGCATCGGAAAATCCAATAACTGAAAAACATTTTTCACTTTGATATTTCATATCATCTAATGTTTCTTTATTGATTGGTACAAATGTTGTACCATAACGAAAACCGTCTGTTAATTCTTCTTTTTCAATTTCTTCATCATGTTCATCTTTTGTATAACGTCCACGATCAACTTTAATTTCTGATTTTGGATCACGTGCATAAACTTTTTTTAAACGAAATATTCCTGGTTTATTATCTTTCACCTATTTGAAAAGAAAGGGATTAATATATTCAAATAAAATTTCTTTTTCTAACTTGTATATATGTACAAATATGTAATTTAATATCCGCTAATTGCATAATATATTTTGTTGCTGTTGGTTTAACAGTTTTTGATTGATGAATACTAAGCATACCTAATGCTTCACTAAAATATAGTATACATTTATATTTATTAAAAGTAAATATTTGAAATTATATACCGAAATGTAAATAAACTTCCTTCTGTTGTATTAACAATATCATTAATTATACGAATACCAGTTTTTTGTTGAGGTGTTAATGGTTTTTTTTGATTTCTATTATGATGATTACCATTTGTTGTTGGACGTGCACTTGCTGAATCTCCATTATGTCCATTTGTTTGCGTAGGTGAATCTGGTCGATCATTTTCGTCATCATCTTCTTCTTCTTGACCCCATGAAGGTCCAATAGCATCAACAGTAATATCTTGAAGTCGAAGTGAATCAAGAATAACTTTAAGACTATGATCATTGAATGGTGTTGCAGCATTTGTAAATAATAAAACACGTTTAGCAGCATAACCACGTTTTCCTCTATAATGAAATAATTAATTTATGAATAAGAAATTTGCAATTTTTTTCTTACTCTGTCTCACGACGAAGATGATCAGCAGCAACAACAATTGCATCAATTACTACAAAGATTAGCGATTGAATAGAAGTTTAATCGAAATTTTTTTATCGACTTACAATCAGCTGGATTATTGCCTGGTTTTATTTTTTGTATTTCTTCAAATAAATGCCAATTTGCAGGTGATAAAGAAAAGACGACACTAATATTTTGATAATTATTTTCATCGGCTAAATCATTATTTGTCTCATCACCACCATATAATATCAATGCTAATTCATCTTTACTCTGTTGAAACATCTATTTTTAAAAATAGAAAAAGGTAATAACTAATTCGTAGCTGATTTCTTTACTTTTCTTTGAACAATCATTTGAAGAATATCACTTGTTATTTGTAAAGGGGAATCGAATCCTGGTGCTGTTTGTGACATACCCACACCAATATCTACCACAAGAGCTAATGCTTCCTATAAACAAAAAGAAGAATAGAATATTCAATATGTATTAATAGATATTTACTTTGTTTGAAGCCATCCTATTGTTATGATTATTTAATTTCAATCTAAAAGTATTTTCTAAATGTCTATTGACTAGTTAGTTGAAAATTTTTTGTTGTTTTTTTTTTCGAGATAAGCACTATAACTAGAACAACAAATTTAAAAAAGCAAAACAAACTGTAATGCAAATCAAAAGAAAAAGAAGAAAACATTCATATGTTTAAATTTGATAAGTGAAAAAAACAAAACTAAGTCATGGATAAAATTTTATCGTTTATATTGTGTGTGTATCAAGCAATAGAAAGAAAAGTTTTCTATAAGATAAGACGTAAAAGAGCCATCACACCAGCTGCAATTCCACCAGTAACGGGAACTGTAACAATCCATGCAACAATAATATTTCGAAATAAAGACCAATCAACACTTTGTTTGGAACGAATACGACCGATAGCTACAACACTTCCAACTTTACAATGAGTTGTACTTATTGGAATTGATAAATTCGATGCAACAAGTACGGTGAATGCAGTTGAAATTTCAATAATAAAACCACTAAAGTTTAAAAGATTATTTCTTTAAATATTTTTGAAAAATTATATTTTATACCTTGATGGTGTAATTTTTGTTAAATCTTCACCAATAGTTCGTATAACACGACGACCCCAGACCCAAAGACCAACTGATATACCTATACCACCATAGAAAAGCACCCAAAGAGGTATTGATGATTTTGTGACAACAGAACCATCGGTATAGATTAACCAAAGACCAATCAAAGGACCAATTGCATTACTTTATAACAGAAAAAATATATATCAAATAAATTAGTGACAACATTTCATATGGACTCTCGAGTGAACTCATCTAATCTAACAATTTCATAAGTTTCTATTGTACTTTTAGAATTGACTGAATACTACTTAGTGATTTACCTAACATCATTTCCACCATGAGCAAATGCGCCAAATATAGCGGTAAGAATTTGTAAATATTTAAAAATAGCCGCAATTTCTAGTGAATCACTTGTTGTATCAATTTTTTTCTGCAAAGAAAAAGAAAATCAAAAAAAAATAATAATAAGATAATAATAACAAACCTTTTTCGCTGCTATTTCTGGCATTTTATCTTCAACTTCATCTAAATCTTCATTTGAACTCATTTGATTAGCTGATATAGTTGACATATTATCATCCTCTAAAAAGTGAATACATTAAATTATTGTTTAAACGAAAAAAAAGATTCAAAATCGGAATTACCAGATGATAATAATAAACTTTTATTTTCATTGATTACTGAACCTGCTATACTAGGTGCATTTGTATATTGTGGTAAACGATAAATTTTTGTTTTCTTTGAAAATAAAAAAAAATAATTAATATATATTTTTTGTCTTCTATTTAATTTTTTATTACTTCACGAATAATTGATGGATTAGGAGTAGGTCGATGTCCTATGGGAACCGAATTATCTGTTGAAATTAATTCATAACGTACACGATCACCATCACGACGCACACGTGATACTGCACTATGACCTGAGTTTGATAAAGTTTCAGAATCTTTTCGTATTCGTTGCATTTCAACTAGAGAAAAATTCTTATTGAATATAATAATAGATAAATAAAAGAAATTTTACCATATGGTCGATATTGTTCAGGATGATTTTGTTGATAACGTATTAAATCAAATTCTTTAAGTAGAGATACATGATCAATTTGAGTTTCCTTATCACTTGAATTGACATTTTCAAGACGAGCTACTATAGATAAAGAGATTTAAATCAATACAAGACTATTATATAACCCCCAAGCTGATAATTTGCCTCTCGTCGCAAGTATACAAGCGATTTGTATAAGACATTTTTTATAGAGCAAAACTGTTTGCCAAAATGAATTTTCTCAAGAGCTACTATGGTTAATAGAAGAAAAAGAGGCGAGCATTGAATCTGCATTGTTTTTCACAGAATATTCAGCACCATTTTAATATCAATACCTTAAATAATTCTGTACATACTTTTTTAGTATTATAATCTTTCAAAAAATAGTTTGTTTTAAATCAAAATATGAGAAGAAGAAAAAACATATTTACCAGTATATGTTTCAAATCGACCTTCTGTCTTAGTTAATTGTGGCGTATCATCTTTATTTAGTTGATCATTTTTCTTTTTTAATGTTTCTTTAAATAAATAAAACATTTAATAGAAAGTTTAATTCTAAAAATCAAAATATTCTTACGTTCAATACTATGTTTTAAACGTGGTTTAACAACAAACATAACGAAAAGACCAACTAGAAGACCAACAGAAAGTGTTATTATAACATTTCCCCACAATTTAATACGATCAAAATATAGCACTAGATTTAATAAAATAATAAGAAAAACAACTCTTACAAATCGTTTCTAAGACAAACTAACTTGGTGGTGCTGAATGAATTATTGAAAAAACATTGATCATTATTGTACCACCATAAAACCAAGGTAACCAAGCAAGACCAACATTCAAATGATCACTCTACAAGACGAAAAAAGAATGATTTTATTCTTTACCAAAAGAAAATCCCATATAAAAAATAGTTTACTTTTTCAAGAATAAATTTTCGTATAAATATAAAAAAAACAACGGATATAGTACCAGCTAATGCAGGTGAGATAATCCATGAACCACCTATTATAATTTAGAAATACATATAATTATCATTTCTTTATTTTTATCATACCAATTGTAGCGAAGACACGCCACTTTATAGCTTGTGAACCCTTAGAAACAAGAGCAAAGCCAATTGTTGCACCTACAATACTGTGTGTACCTGATACAGGTAAATTAAAAAATGTTGCAACTAATAACCAGATACAACAACCTATATAAAAAAAAGTTTTTCTTTGATATGTATATAAGTGATAAATTTATTTACCAATTAATGATGAAAGTTGACCGAGCATTAATTCTTTTGGATCTTTTGCAAATTCACCTGGATCAATAATACCTTTCCGTATCGTATCAGACACTTTCGCCCCTAAATAATCAATATTAAAAAGAAAAGAACATCTCTTTTTTCTTCTACCATACCAATTAATATTGATCCAAGTATTTCAAATATTGTTGCTAGAATACATGCTTGTTTCAATGTTAATACCTTACTACCAACACTTGTACCAAATGAATTAGCAACGTCATTTGCTCCAATACCAAATGCTAATACAAATGCCACAAGAAAACCAATAATTAAAATCCATAATACTTCAACAGAATATGGCTCAAGTGCGACCATAATATTATTTACTTGTTTATTTGTATTACTAAGAATGAAAATAGTTTACATATATATTATCATTATATATTTGACTTTTTTACTTTTACAATTAAATTTTATTCATATTATTATTCACTATAAGAATGTTAGCGTTAGCTTCGAAGCCCAACCGATTTATAATTTACGCTTCTGTCAGTATTGCATATTGATTACGAATGAATGCCTTTTATTGGTTTAGAAAGTAAACGAATTATACAACTAACGTTTAGATGTCACTGTAATCAAAAATATTCACTTTATTGCTGTGTATATAACCGCAAAAAAAAAGATTTTTTTTAAAGAGTAATAAGTACGTGCACATATGTTTAGTATTATAAATGATATACATTTTATCATGCAGCATATGCCCTTGATGTGCATTTAGAAGATACAATCAAGATATTTTTTAATGTGATAAATCGACAAATATTTCATGAAAAACTAATATGACTGCTTGTTGATATGTTGAAATATTTTAGAAGGGTTCTATGGTGTTTGGATCATAATCTGTAGATTATTTGATTGTACCCCACTTCTTTTTCTACTAAAATATTTTTAATCTGAATAATGAAATATAGAATGGGAAAGTTAATAAAGAGAGAAACAACTTTCTAAAATACATTTTCATCGATTCGAGAGTATTATAATACATACATATTTGTACAGAAGTGAAAAAATAAGTTTCGTCATGTATATTAATTATATTCCAATGAGTCTTAAGGGCTAACAATAAGGAGATTATCGTCTTTTAATAATAATAGATGAATATTTGATTCTCAAGTGATTTTTGTCTGATTCATACTATAGAATAGTTCGACAAATTACTGACGCAAGAAAAAACAGTTGGTTTAAGTTTTATTTAAATAAATAGGATCATAGAGAAATGTGATACATTACCTGAGTATGGAGCTACTGTATGTCTTATGAGACAGTTAGTCATTATTTTCATACTGTTTGACTCAACTCTTATATAGACAAAGTTTTATTGGATTCTTTTTGCGCAAGCATTGTTCTAAATCATAAAAAATAATCAAAGTGCGACGTTTTAACTACTAGTTCATCAATTTTTTTATTAAATAAATGAACTGAAAAATTCGTTCTATGAAGGTGTGATATATAACACTTCCAAGTGTTCAACTGAGAAAAAGATTTTCAAAATAGATGTCTTGTTTTGATGGGAGACTGCTGCCATCAAAATAACGCGATGATTCGAATTTTTTTAATTAAATTGTGGGATATAAATATTATATGTTATCATGGTCTTCGTTAGTTAAAGTTAATCTAAATTTATACCTTATGTGTGCTTCATTGTTCGAATTGATTGATTAATCTTTTTATTCTTCTTCATACTGATCATAATCAATGTTACTATATATCGTATGATTCAATGAGAAAATATCTTCTTTCTCATATCATCAACATTCCTTATCTTATATAATAAATATAAGATTTCATCAAATGCAATCAATAAAAAAAAAGAAGTTTCTTTTTTTGTTCATTTTATTTCACCAACAATTTTTCATTGATCTATATATTATTTCTTCAATTTTTTTTATATCGCTTCTATATTTTTATACTGTTTTTCTAATAATAATTACAAATATATATATATGTCTAGATACTTTGCATTAATGATATATTGTCATACCGCACACTTGTATAAACAAAGAAAGAAAGAAAGAAAAAGTCAATTACTGTTCAGATTCAACTGTTAAAAAGGACATTCATGAGTAGATTTTATACCATTCGTAATTGTCTGAGATTTCGATAGTTGTTCTAATGGATTATAAGTAAACGAATGTGTTCGTTTTGTTGAAGGTGTTGCACTTAAATAAAATGCTGTCATTAATTCAGTTTGTTTTGAAGATTTTGGTAGAGATGATGCTTT